GCCATATTCTAACAAACACATAAGTAATGAAGTCAGACCTGTAAGATTATACTAAATAATGATGCTGCCACAAATAACACTATCACAATACACTGTGGAACGAGTTTCAAGAAACCATGTTAAGAAAACAGGAGGTATCCAATGTCAGATGATTATACGCAAGCAGAAAGATAAAGGAGAAAAACAGAGCTTTATTCGAAAAGGGTATAAAAGGAACTTTGAGCTTCTTGGAAAGAAAGCAAAGGTTTAATCTCTTCACTAGTATATCAATGATGACAGCAGCTTAACAGTAAACAAACTCAAATGATGCCTTAAGCACAAGACTTTGGACAGTTAAGAGTAAGGATGGCACACTTCAGCCAGTCATATTTATATCTAGCCATTAAAATAGGGTCTTCTACTTATACCAGTGAGGACTAAGTGTGTCTTATTCAGGCCACAGGCCTTTCCAATCACTTAACTATGCATCTGAGAGCTGAGAAAGTAATACATATAACAGTAATATAATTGACACCTTTGAACTGTGGTGTTAGAGAAGAGCACTGAACATCCCATGGACGGTCAAGAGAATGAACAGATATTTCTTGGGGAAGGTGCAGCTGGAGTGCTCTTTGGAGACAAGAATGATGAGACTTAGCCTCACATACTTTGGACATGTTGCTCGGAGGTGCTATTCCTTGGAGAAGGACACGATGTTGGGAAGAGTAGATGATGGTGAAGGACAGGAAGACACTCAACCAGGTGGACTGACAAGGTGACAGCTTCAATGGGTTCTAGTATGTTAGGAAGTGTAAAGGTGGCACAGGATAGGACAGAGCTCAGATCTTTTGTTCATAGGTTTGCTATGAATTGTACTCAATTCAATGGCACCTAACAACAACAATTACATAGTCAAGAAATCAAAAGACATGTTGCACTGGGGAAACCTGCCATCAAGGACCTCTGCAAAGTGCAAGGATGTCAGTTTAAAAACTAAGGTGCACCTGAACTCAAACGATTTTCAATTACAAAGGCTTACCAAAGAAGAACTGATGCCTTTATTATTTCTTTTGATGTGTGTACCGTCAAATCTGGTCTGGCTGGTTGGTACAGGAGGCGATTGTTCCTCCTTCTCCAGCAGAGCATCTGGTGGATTTGAACCGCGTACCTCTGGGATTGCAGTGCAGCTTCTTGCCACTAGGCCACCAGAGCTCAGAACTGATGTCTTTGAACTGTGGTACTAGCAAAGAGTACTGAATATTCTATGCACTGGCAAAAGAACAAACAAATCTGTCTTGGAAGAAGTGCAACAGTAGTGCTTCCTTTAGGCACCCCTTCCAGTGTGGGCTCAGTGGTAAGAATCTGTGCTACAATCCCAAAAGGCACAAGGTTAGAATCCATCAGCTGTTCTGTGGAAGAAGGATGGGCAGTTTCCTCTCGAGTGATTTACTGCCTCTGATAACCCACTGCAAGGTCAGCTAGAGGTGTGTTCCAACTTGGCACATGACAGGACCAAGAAAGTGAAACTGCCTCTCATGTATGTTAGGTATGTTGTTTGGTTGGGCATGTTGGCAGAAGGGGTTAATTCTTGGAAAAATAAATCAGGCTGGGAAAGGTGGAGCTCAGAGAAAGAAAGACCCTGACAGTGACTTCAACAAAGGGTTCGAACACTCTGGAGATCAGGAGGATGGTGCAGAGTGGGGCAAGAATGACATCTGTTCATAAAGTTGAAATGAGCTGTGGCCGACTCAATAGCACCTGACAGCAACAACAAATTCCACAAGCCCAGAGAATGAGAGAACTACAGGCTCCTAACTGAACAAAAGGAAAAGGGAATTCCTTGATGAGGAACACAGAGAGATATAGCACTATCTTCTCAGACTTTTTCCAATCAGAATTTATCTGTTAGGTAAATTAATGTGTAACTGCATTATTCTTTTTCTAAGTACGTTGTTGCTGCATACTGTCGAGTTGGAATTGACTCATACCTGACCCTCCAGTGGGTTTTCAGAGGTTCTAAATTGCATGTTCCTCTACTGTTGCTGTAATGCTAAACACTGTGACACTGATGTGTCAAATGTCATAATGGTTACCCGTGGTGCACAGTGTTCGCTGGAGCTCCCCGAGTAAAACAAGCTTGGAAGGAGTGGCAGCCACTTCCAAAATAGCTTGCTCCTGGAAACTTTATGAATTTGGAGAAACGATGAAAAGTTATACAAGTGTTCAGGTCTTTCATTCAAAGGGTTGCTATGAGTCGTCTATGACTTGACGGCACTTAACAACAGCAACACAGAGAGAGCTCTGTTGGCCTAGTGGACAGAAAGTGATGCTACCAAGCCAAAGGTGGGTGATTTTTATTTTTTTTAATCTTATTAACAGTATTTATTTATCTTTCATCAATCAAACCCTGAGCCAATCACTTTCCCCAAGCTGCCCGGAAGTCACATAGGGTAGACGAGACATAGGGCGGTGGGGAAGGGGGGAAGAAAACCAACAAACTATGGGAGGTGGAGACGGCTCCTTCACATGGTGAAGAGGATCAGAAAGGACACCATCAGGCAAAAGAGGCCCACGGCCTCTTAGAGGGCAAAGCCCAGAATGGCGTAGGAGAAGAATTCCTGGTATAACCAATGATGAGGCTCCAAACACAGTCCCAATTGCAGCTCCAGAGCCAGCACTCCAATCGTAGCAGCCCCAGCCCCAATGAACTTGGCTGCTGTGTCAATATACCTTGAGAGAGCACTGATTTGGAAGCTGCAACTAGGGATAAATGAAATCTAGGAATGACTGGATGGCACTTAAAAACAACAACAGCTGTTCATAGGGTTTTCAAAGGCCTGTTATTTCAATAGATGACCAATCTTGCTTTCTGCTGTCTTAATCTTGGAGGTCTGCTGAAGCTGTAACCATAGGTGACCCTGCTGGCATTTGAAATAGAACAGTGGCATAGCTTCCAGCATCATAAGTTTACCACAAGTTACCCTGTACAGCAAACTGTCAGACAAGTGCTGCACTAACCAGGGCAAATGATAAACAAGCAAGTTTATACAAACCTGAGAGATATAAAATACCTACTCAATCTGTAGGCTGAGCACATAATTTGAGAAGCTGCACTGTATAAAGAAGAAATCATTTGGGAGGCTGGACTTTATGAGGAGGATTGTGGCAGCAGGCTCAGAGGAAGACTCATCAACAACCTACATTATGCAAATGACACAATCTTGCTTGCTGAAAATGAGGAAGACTTGAAACATTTGCTGCAGAAGTTCAGAGACTACAGCCATCAATGGATTACATCTCAACATCAAGGAGACAGAAATCCTCAACACTGGATAGACAGACAACATGATGACAGTTGGAGAAAAGATTTAAATTATCAATTATTTCATCTTACTTGGATCCACAATCAAGAAGCTTTGGACCAGTTGTCAAGAAATCAAAAGACATACTGCACTGAAAAAGTCTGCTGTCAGACTTTTGTCTCCAAAGTACTGAGGAGCAATTATGTCAGTTTAAATACTAAGGTACACCTAATTCAAACCATAGTCTCTTCAATCACTTGCTATTCATCCGAGAACTTGACAATAAATAGGAGAGAAGGAGAATCGATGTCTTTGAGCTCTGGTATTGGACAATGAATAAGGTGACAGAAGAACTAATGTCTTTGAGTTGTGGTGTTGGAGAAATGTACCAAACATCCCATGAATTGTAAAAAAAATGGATATATGTCTTGGAGAAAGTGCAACTAGAGTGTTCCGTATAAAGGCAAGAATGGTAATGTTTCATCTCACATACTTTGAGCATATTGTTAGGATGGGTTATTCCTTAAAAAAACTTCTTGCTTAGAAAAGTAGAGGGTCAGTGAAAGAGAAAAAGACCCTCAACTGCAGTAATGGGCTCAAGGATGTCAGAGACACTGAGGATGATACAGAACAGGGCAGTGTTCAGACCATAGATCATAGGGTTGCTATAGTTGTACTTGACTTGATGACCCCTAACATTATAAGCAATAACATACTATGACAGGTTTGGAAGCAGGAGTGGCATCCACTTCCTAAACAAGATGCCTCCTGAAACTCAATGAACTTTGATAATTGTTAATAGTTGTAGAGGAACTTCAGGCCTTTTGTTCATAGGGTTGCTATGAGTTGTGCTCGACTCAAAGGCAATCAACAACATTATCAGTATGGTGACTATGATTATGAAGTGTACTTTCCAAGACAGCAAAGCCATATGGCAGGTACAGGACAAGAATAATTCCAATAGTGTTTGTGCCTACGTTAGGAATGGAATTTAAGGCTCCTCGTTTGACCCAGCTTCCCACAAGCCAATATAAAAAAATGCCTAGAGAATATAGTCAAATGTGGTATTTTTAGTAATGTCCAATCCAGGTTAAAACACACAGTACAAATTTCAGCTTCACTCCTGAATTTTAGGCTGAAGCTTAAAAACAAGACTAGAAAAAGTAACAGGAATTTGTGAGGCACCAAATGCAATCTGAAAAATTTAAAAAAAAAATAAGATCCAATCTTATGATCACGTTTTCCACCGAGGCTCACAGATAACGTAAACAGGCATCTGAAAACCTGAGGTTTAGTCTTGGTTTTGTACATTGATAACCATCTTTCAAATTTTATGAAATCTGTGTCAGAAATGATGATCCAATTGCTGATAAACCAAATTTCTGCCTGGTGCTTTCTAGATATTAAAATTTATTTTTAACTTTTATTTCACACTGTAGGAAAATGTTAGTTCAGATACAGAATGCTAAAAATATTCAAGACTTACAAGTCAACTAAGACATATTATTAAATATAAAAGGATGAGAATAGCTCTACTAATAAAAAAATCTAATGTGCACGGAAAGATGTCTTTTGATCTCCCAAATGGCACCCATATGGTCTATCTGGCACATACCCCGGAAGAAGATTACTTAAAGGCCCCTCAATTACATCACAACACAATATAAAATCTGACCTATCCTTAAAATAGGCACTGAGGGGAAAACAATGACAGCTTACCTTACAGATGGAATTCGTGAACATTTCTGTCAAAGGCTGTGAAACTGCAAGGTGTGTATCCTCAGAGCTGATCTTAAAAACGGTCTCCAAGCACTGAATGGCAACTTGAAATAAATGTTAATAGTGAAAAAACAGCAACTTAAAAAAGAAACCACCTTCTTCTTTTCTGGTAGGATGGCAATCTGTTGTATCTCAGCATTCACCATTACAGAACATAAGGAAAACGAAACGGTTCAGCTGTGTAGAGATTTCTTTTTATAGATCAGTTATTGAGGGAAGGCAACTTGATTTCTTATTCTTCACTTACAGAAAAAATGTTAGTCAGAATAAAATTTCTCAGCAATGTCTTACATCATATCCCTGTTGAATGCTGTAAGAATATATGGTATAAAAAAAAAGAATATATGGTATAAAGAGCAAGTGATTAACTATTTACTTCCACCCACTAAAATCTGAGTAACAACTAAAGTCCCAAGACCTTAAACAACATAAAAATTCTATCTTTTCTTCTTGTTCTTAATGTGAGAAAGAATTTTTAACTGTGGGTGCACTCTCTCATTGACACTGAAATGACTTACAGCTGACTCTAGTTTCGGTTTTCCACGATGGAGATCGCACAGAAGTATACTAGCCATCTTTCACCCTTGAAGCTGCTGGCGGATTCGAATTGCCAAAGAGGTCTTTCGGTTAGCAGTGCAACTCCCATGGTCCAGGCCAAAAGAGTTTCCTAGTCTCTGAACACAGAGCTTGCATAGGATATTAATTCTGGTTTACTTACGTAAAGATAGTTTGTTTTTTTAAAAATCAAATAGTCATGCATGCAAATTTATTAAATTCCTACTACTATGTAAGGCATTGTTCTAAACTAATGAACATACAGCAGTAAAATTAAAATTGCTGCTGGTAAGATAAAGGCTACATACACTAGAAAGAAGCAGACAAGAAAACAAACCACAATTTTATATGCATA